AACGACTTTTCTGTGTGCCAAAAATCAGCATGTTTAAATTTAGTTTTCTTGTTACCTTGCAGACCTAGGGTTTTGGATTCGATCACCACTAAGGGCAACTATCTTACAAAATGTTACTTGCTTTTCCTGTGTTTGAAAGATTTTACTACCATAATTCATGAATTCACTGGTAAGATACATTGTGCCTACTGAAAATGACAGGTTTGTGTATGTTTGTTGTGTGAACATTGGACTGTCAGATTCTTCAAGGGTAGGGACTGGTGTGAAAGGTTCAAAAACATATGCAAAACCTTGTGAAAAAAAGGTACCCCAGACATGAGATGGCAATTTCTTGATGATTGGATAGGACAGTGATCTGCAGTCTGAAAAGTATATCCGTGTATTTTCATTTTAGGCTTTTTTAGAGTACAGCCAGCCACAGATGGATCGAATCTTGGCAGGTTCATCAGGGGCCTGGCCGATATTCAATCCATCTATAGGCAGGCTGATTGTGCCCAAGTCGATCCCTAATCTATGGCCTGCCTGAGAAGTGATAGCACAAGTTACACAACCTTATAGCTAATATCCTCTCGGGCTAAACACAAATTTTTAATTGTGTTTAGTGATTGGATTATATATACCTATATACCTACACATCTTACTACTCTCTTGTGGTTATGGCTTAATAAATATTAAAATGTAATGTTTTTGATGTCTTTGCTCCATAGAGTCAAAGCACGGTGGGGTTTATTTACTAAAGCTCGAGAGAGCAAAATCAGGCTCACTTCTGCATGGAAACCAATCGGCTTCTAACCTCAGCTTGTTCAATTAAGCATTACCAATACAACCTGGAAGCTGATTGGTTTCTATGCAGTAGTAAGCTTGATTTTGTGCTCTCCAGCTTTAGTAAATAAACCCCACTGTGTAAAAAATGGCCTTTAAGCTGGCCATACGCTAGTAATTTTTTGAATGAGTGTTTGTACAAACATCAGTATAGTACATTCGATGGCTTGATGAGTGTCTCTCAAAAGTACTTACATTTTTGTTTTTTGCTTTAATATATGATTTTGGAATGAATGGAGTTTTCAAAACTAAAACTGCAGTCATTGTTAGAGGTTCCTTCAATCGAGAAGATTTTCCATTCTGTTCCTTCAGATTTTCTTGTCACTGTAGTTAAAAACAAATATGAATTTGATCCACTGATTTTTTAGAAGAAACAAACCAACATTCTAAAAATGAAAAAATTTCATATAAAATTCTGTTAGTGTATGGGCAGCTTTAGAAGGAAACTTTCCAGAAAAATTTTTCAACCAAAGGCGAATGTGGCTTGAACATCCAAAAGCAACAGTCCAGAAGTAAATCTGAGCTTCTTCCTTGCAAGCCTTTGAAGAGTACAAGTGCTCTATGTATTTTGTTGGCATCCCTAGGAAGGCCATAGTGGATGGTCTTGTTTTTTCCCTGCAACACTGACTGTGTTGGTGGGGGAATCTCTCCCGCTGAGGGGGGGATTGAGGTGTGGGTAGTAGTCCCTGTTGGAAGAAGACAGTGGCTATAGCTGCTGGCAATAATCACATGTAAAAATCCAACATGCTGGTTGTACCCAAGTCGATCGATGGATCGACTTTTGATACAATAAGCATGTTATATGTGGTTTAATTTTGTGGTTTTTATGATCGATTTTTTTCTTTCCCTCCTTCCCCCCTCGACTAATTTAGCTGTTTCTTATTAGCATGGAGGAATATTCCATTTTCATCATTATTTTCCCACATGCCAAATTTCTTTCTCCTATAAGAGTATCATCCCTACTTATTCCATAGATTGAGTGCTGTATTTATTCTTCCAATTACTTAGTTGCACTGTTGCTTATATTGCTGAGTCTTTATATGGCCAACCGTATCACTGACCTTTGCAAAGGTTGGTTGGTTTACAGTACCTTTTACTGTATGTGGAAAGACTTTCCTTTTATCTTGTTTCCTTTTTTTATCGATAACCTAATAAAAACTATTGAGTTAAAAAATTGTAATGTTTTATAATCTTAAAATATATGTATGGTTGCACTGACCTAGGAATAGCAGGTCTATTTTGTAACTGTAGAAAGCACCCAAAAATGTTCTACCCTGTTGAATTTTTTTTCCTTTCTTTATATTTCACAATTTTCCAAACTATTTATATTCTGTGACAATGGCAATAAAATTGGTCTAGACAACCAAAAAAAACCTGGTCTAGACATCCAAAAAAATGGTCTTAATTTGGATTAAGCTGGCCATACACCAGTGGAATTTCGTTCAAACACTTTCATTTTCGTTTTCAGAACCTCAGGACATTCATTATTTTACTGTAGAGAATAGAAATTTCTAAGGAGATGGATGGAAAAATGTTCTCAAACAAACAAAATTTTCACTGTGAATGTACTTTCTGTTTGGGAAAAATTGTACATATTTTAATGAAACCTGTTTAATATGCCTGGGATTCCATACATTATGCTTTTTTTTTGAACAAAAGAAAATGCCTTGATTCCCTCATCCACACATTTGTGGAACTGACCAAATTTTGTTTACATTTGGTTTATTATCAGCTCTGGACAACATTTCAAGGGCTTTTAAACTAAACTCAATGATAGCAATAAAGAATGTTCTGGTGAACGATTTTCCTACTCATGTTTGAACAGAAATCTAACCATGTATGGCCAGCTTTAATTATGTTTTGGGAACCATAATATTAGCTTCCCTGCTGGTTCCATGTTGATTATGTCTATCTAAAAACTTATGGGCAATTGTTTGATTTTCTCCTCTCTCTTTACCAGCAATTACAGATAAAAGGTAAATAGGTACAGTATAATAGACTCATCACATTGCTTGACTTTATAGAGGCATGCAAGGAAAACAGAGCAATGGGGATGAGCTCTCATTGTATGTCTTGTCTATGTATGTATGGGAATTAGGACACAGGAATTCTATTAGTGAGACTAAACTCCTCTATAAAATCACCAGGTGACATTAGTAAGCCTTTAGACTCACTGGAGCCATGTCTAAGGACATTTGTCGGAAGTGAGAACCTGGAATGGTTATGTTAATTAGTCCATTATCCAGGTTTTTGGTTCCTCTTTTGATGTGCTTCACACCTACATATGCAAGGAGCTATAAAGGAGAAACTCAGCATGGACCAAGGGCTTAAGCACACACAGGAAAAAACTGATCATTCAAGCCAACATCCAATGGCCTGCAACATGGTCAGACAAAGCTTTTCCATAGACTATATCCTAACAGGGAGTAAAGAGGACACTTTAGCTGGGAAAGATGCATTAAAACCACACATCCCTTGTGAACCACAGCCCCCATGTAAATTTACTGAAGGGTCCAACCAACCTGAGTGGAACACTGAACATATGGGAACTTGCACAGATTCTCAACCCTTCAAGAGCATTTTGGACAATCAGACATGTCTACAGCAAGTTGTATCTTCCACAATCTGTGAGTAAATTTATATTAAGAAAATAACCTGTATTATAGGATTTCAAATATACATACTTTAACTTCAATTTGAATAGCTGTGTAGCTCTTTTCCATAATTTACCAGCATTCTGATATATTTTCTTTTTCATTGATGCAAATGAAGTGTAATAATTATGTTATACTTATTAAAGTTCATTTTGCTAATTAGGAATGTGCACGCCACATCTAAATTTTTTTTTTTTTTTTTTTCCGCAAGTTTTGTCATGTAAACCTGCATATATTCTACTAAACTAATTTTTATTGTAGAAGGAAAAACATCACCAACTGAGTCCTTGCACACGGTACTGATGTATGAAAGCTGAATCTTCTTGATAGAGATAGATATATATATATATATTATTATTATACAGGATTTATATAGCGCCGACAGTTTGTGCAGCGCTTTACAATATAAGGGAGACAGTACAATTACAATATATTTTAGTACAGAAGGAATAGGAGGGCCCTGCTCCTGCAGCTTACAATCTGAAGGAAGGGGAAGGTGATACAATAGGTGATAGCTGCAGGGGATGATCTGGCCGATATATATATAAAAATTCTTCTAGCTCCCAAAATGCCAGATATTCAGATACTATTCAAGGGGGAGGTATGATTTTATGTGTGTAAAATGAGCGATAATGCAGAATTTTTTTTATTTATTTTTTTTTAATTTAAATACGGTTCTAGTTAATGTCTACAGACCACTTGAAAGAAATGGCCAGCATTAAGATCAGTAAAAAATAAGTTGCTCAATGCCTAAAAAAAATTGTTTTTGGGCACCTGTATGCAAATTTCCTTTGACTATTTTGTACTTTATCTTTTCACCAGTATATGTTGTGCTTGTTGCACTTTTCTTTTCTGTTCTTGCATGCAAGTAAAAAAAAAATCATGATAGATTAATGGTTAGGATATTGAATTAATGTCACAGTTGGTTACTATATAATTATTCCTTTGTTAAAATATGGGCACTTATTTAATAGGATGATTTATTATTCAGTAATGTGCAGTACCCAACACAACAATTAACTAATACGCCTTGATTAATATTGCGTAATAGTCTGTTAGTTGACCTCTGTATCAAAAGGCAAGAGATGTGTCAATCTATGGTTGGTGGTTTTTAGACCTTATTAACCACTTGCCCTCCAGAGGATTTACCCCTTTTCCTAACCAGGCCATTTTTTGCGATACAGCGCTGCGCTATTTTAACAGTCAATTGCGCAGTCATGGAACACTGCACCCAAATTATGTCGTCCCTTTTTTTTTTTTTTTTGTATATGTCTTTGCGCACCTGTGCCGCTCTGTAGCAGTACTTCTACTATAGGGTGGTGCAGAAGCGGTTAACATGGTAATAATCAATTACTTTACATAGTGGATACTTAACCTTGATTTTAAGTCTCAGAGGTCTAGAGTAGAGAATGCTAGAGGCTGTTTTAGATTAACTCTAGCCATCTAATTCCATGGTAAAGAAATCATACGTTGTATAAACCATATACATGGCAGTCCTAAACTCTAATTATCATTGTTCATTTAGCTCCACACAAGAGTTGGGGAAGTTCTGATGAATCCACACCTAGTTCAGAAGATGAGAGTGAGCAAATTGGTTCTCATAGTCCAAGAAGAGGTCAGCCTGAAGATGACCATGGAGAAGCTAGCCTCAAGAGTGAGATTCAACGCAGGTTGAGAACAGCATTCACCTCCCAGCAAGTCTGCAAACTTGAGGAGCTGTTCAGGAAACAGAGATACCTGGGAGCCTCTGAGAGAAAGAAATTGGCAAGTTCTTTACAGCTGTCAGAAATGCAGGTAACTATGCACTGGGAACAAAACAAGTTGTTGATGTGTAAGCACAGTTGTAGAATATCCCGTTTCATCTTTCTGACACATGTATGTAGCTATGGCAGGTAAATGTTATAGCCCCTTTCCTTGTACTTGAGAAAAATCTTGATGTTTAGGATGCCTAGTGGGAAATGTTTGAGCAGTGGTGTAACAATAAATTGTATGTTAAAAAAAAAATCGCTCTCTCGCGCTTTACATTATAGTGAGGGACAATACAGTTCAATACAAGAGGGAGTTGAGGCTCCTGCTCCTTGGAGCTTACAATCTAGGAGGGAGGGGTGAGTGGTACAATAGGTAAAACTGTGGGGGATGGAGTGGTTGGAAGCGTAGAGGATAACAGTATTAGCAGAGGGCGGGATAGGCTTCCCTGAAGAGAGGTTTTCAATGATTGCATAAAGGTAAGTAAAGTAGCTGATAATCTGCTAGATTGGGGTAGGGAGTTCCAGAGGATTGGTGACGCTTTGGAGACTAGCATGGGAGGAGGAGATAAGGGAGCTAGAGAGTAGGTCTTGCAAGGAGTGGAGTGTACGGTTTGGGTGATATTTAGAGATAAGATCGGATATGTAAATTGGGGCAGTGTTGTGGATGGCTTTATATGTCATTGTTGGTGTTTTTTGAGTTTTATCCATTGGGCAACTGGGAGCCAGTGGAGGGATTGGCAGAGAGGGGTGGCAGATACAGAACAGTTAGTAAGGTGGATGAGTCTGGCAACAGTGTTCACGATAGACTGGAGTGGGGATAGCCCCTGCGATGAGGTAGGCCAATGAGGAGAGCGTTACATTAGTCGATATGCCATATGATATGACAAGGGAGTGAGTAAGTAGCTTAGTGGTTTCTGGAGTTAGGAATGGTCATATCTTGGAGATGCGGAGGTGAAGTCTACATGATTTTGTCAGTGATTGGATCTGGGGCTGGAATGACAGATGGGAGTCTAGGATTACACCTAGTACCCTGGCATGAGGGGATAGACTGATTGTGTTACCGATATCTATCTATGGTGAGGTCAGTGGAAGTGGCACAGGCAGGGGGGAATACTAAGAGCTCAGTTTTGGAAAGGTTGAGTTTGAGGAAGTGGAGTGACATCCAAGCTGATATGTCACTTAGTAGGCTAGTGATACGAGTGGAGACTGAAGGGGTGAGGTGAGGGGTAGACAGATTTGTGTGTAATCAGCATAGAGATGGTACTTGAAGCCGTGGCGTTTTATCAAGTGACCAATGGAGGAGGTGTAGATGGAGAAGAGAGAGGGTCCAAGGACAGAACCTTGAGGGACCCCTACAGAGAGAGGGAGTGAAGAGGAGGTGGCAACGTTATAGGTAACACTGGAAGGAGCGCTGCGATAGGAGAACCAGGAGAGAGCACAAACTCTGAGGGCAAGAGTGTAGTTTTTTTGAGGAGGGGATGGTCAACTGTGTCAAAAACCGCAGAGAGGTCTAGTAGTAGGAGTATTAAATAGTGGCCGTTGGTTTTTGCAGTTAGTAGGTCATTAGAGTTTTTTTAGTAGGGCAGTTTCAGTGGAGTGTAGAGGGCGAAAGCCAGACTGTAAAGGGTCGAAGGTTGTTGTCGGTGAGGTGGGAGCTCAGGCGATCCTAGACTAAGCGTTCTAGGAGTTTAGAGGTAAATGGCAGCAGGTAGATGGGTCTTAGGTTGTTTAGGTTGGTGGGGTCTAGGGAGGGTTTTTTTTTAAGTATGGGAGTGATGTGCACGTGCTTTAGAGGGGAGGGGAAGGCACCTGTAGCGGGGGAAAGATTGAAGATGTGAGTGAGGGAGCATAGGATGGAGGAGGGGGGTGACCGAAGGAGTGGTGAGGTGGGCTTCTGAGAAGACCTTGAGGACCTCTTCGGTGATAGCGAGGTCAAAGGAGGAGAGTGTTGATGGAGGTATGGTATGAGGAATGCTAAGTGGGATGTGTGTCTGTGTAGTGGCAATGTCCCTACGAATTGCGACAATCTTGTTTTGAAAGTGGTTTGCAATCTCGTGGCAGTGAGTGAGGTGCTGGGTGGCGGTGGGGGCAGAGAAATTAGAGAGTTAAAAGTATGTATGTCCTGTGCAATGGTTTTCCTCTTCTTGGGTCCCCCATCTGGCTCCTCTCCCCTGCTGAGTGCCCATCAGAACAAGCTGTTTGCTATGGGGGCACTCATAGAAACTTGCTCTGTTGACAGTATGGCTTGGTCCTGCTCCACTCTCCCTCCTCACTGGGTGTGATTGACAGCAGTGGGTGCCAATAGCTCCTGCTGCTGTCTCTGCACCTATGGGGAGGAAGAGAGCAGAGAGATGTTGCTTTTATGCACATTCCTGGATCAGGCTCAGGTAAATGGGGTGGGGGGCTGCTGATGCAAAAAAAACTTGCAGCCTTTAGAACCACCATAAGTGATTCATTTTTTTTTTTTCTACTTTATTTTTTTTTGTCAGCGGCTGATCCAAAAAAGAGAAAATTCCGCTATCCCTCTTGAATCATTCCCACTGTTCTTTTCTGTATTCTGACAGCAGGGCTTCTCTTCTACCAGAATACACTGATCAGCATTGCAGCCGATTTGGCTGCATGAGCTGATCACAAATTTTCCAACTTTACCGTTCAAGAGGATTTGACTGTTAGGCTGACTACTCTCAAACAGGAATGCATCATATACACTTCAAGCAGAAGTTCAGAGGGCATTAAATCCACCCTGCTAAAGCTGGCCTGGCAATAGATGGATCGAAATTCGGGTTGTCCCTGCTGAACCACCCAAATTTTGATCCATCTATGGTCAGCTTTAACAGTGAAGGTTTATTGCCCTTTGAACTTCTGCTTCAGACTGAAATTAACAAAGTATGCCGAATGCAGTAAGAAACCAGAGCTCCTCTTCAGCTAAAACCTTTTGGGACAGCTGAGGTTTGTAGTTCTACGCAAAAAGAAAGAATTGAAAAACATATGTATTAGGGTTATCGCATAATTGTGTGCAAAAATATTAATCATTCCGTCATAATATAAAATGTACTACAACTGTACGTTTTATCCACAGCACCAGCTTCTAGTAGTGTACTGACTTCTAGACTGGTCATCTCCCCCCCACAGAATCTTCTTCCCCATGCTCCAGTGGTCAAGGTTTCAACATCAACAAGAGCAAAGCAGGACCCATAGTTGAGGAACAGTCTACTGCTGGAGTATGGGGAAGGGTTATCTGCCGGGGAAGAGGAGGGTCAGGTAAGCTAAAGTGTTTTCCTTGCCCCTAGATTAACTGAGCAGCTAGCCCCTGCACCCATACTGCAAAGGAGGATTCACATTTCTCATAGTTGCCCTTTTAAGATCATTGACAAATGTTGTTTTACTAAAGGAATATAGACTGAGCACTTTGCAAGTGCAGTTGCTCCACAGCTTAGTCAATGAGGTGACGCTTTTACCCAATCGCATGCAAGAAAAATAAATTTAAAAAAAAAATGTAACTTGCTTGCACATGATTGGATGTTGGAAATCAGCTGAGCTTCTGGAGTAACTGCACTAGCAAAGTGCACAGTCTATTTGCCTTTAGTAAATCAGCCCCATATTATCATAGTTGACACTGCTAGCTGCTACAAAGAGGTCACCATGAGGTCTAATTTTGATATGGAGCCCCGTGATATGTAGTTGCTCCCCTGTTTACAAGTTTATTTGTTTTTTTTTTTTTTTTTGTTTGTTTTTTTTCTGAGATTCAACTAACAATACTGTCAATGGGAAGCTGTGCTTGAGAGCATTCCAAAGTAAACTGGAGATGCCTAAACCTCTGTAGAAATCATGGTAGACTTAAAGTGGACCTTTTCCCTATTTCATTAAGTTTTATATTAGTGAATCTCTGCATGCTGATGTGAAATTATCCAGCACTGGTTTCTGTCATAAAAAGGGTTTTTTTGCTTGTATTTTTTTTTTTCCACTCCTGGTCTCCCTGAAGGCAGTAGCTGCGGTGGTCTGAGCGAGTGCTCCAGAGGGTCTGCTGGAATGGAGGGGACAGATGCCCCTACTGCACTGCCTCCCAGCCCGGTGACCCCCCCCCCTCCCCTTTTACAGTGGACATCCTGGAGGACAAACTGCAAGTATTCCTACATATTACCCGCACTATCGCTGCTGAAATTGGGAAACTGGCTCAAGAGCTTAGGGGGGAGATTACCCAGTTGGGAAACCACACAGACCACTTTGAGTCAAAAGTTGTTGAATTGGTGCAATATGTCCATGTCCTAAAGGATAATGCAAACCTGAAACACTCCGTGTCTCAGTTACCAGCTCCAACAGGAAGACCTGGAAAACGGAGCATCACCAGAATGTGTGTGGTATCTCCAAAACTGTCTCAGACTCCCAACTTCAGCGTCACTTGCTATCTTTATTTACTACTCTGGCCCTCAAGGTACCAGATATTGACTGGCGAATGGACTGGGCCCATAGGTCGTTAGGCCCAAAACATCCTGAAGGCACCAGGTCTAGAGATGTTATTTGTTTTTACTACTTTGACAGCAAAGAAGCCTTGCTCTCTTCTACTTGCAACAAGTCCTCTTTAGAATTTAACCGCCGCTCGCCATATAGCCCAATGATGGGCACAAGGCGGTTCTCTCGGTCTGGGAGGATGTCATATGACGTCCTCCCATTCTAACCACGCATGCTCCAGAAAGTTTCCCATATACAAGACCAAATTGGAGCTCTTGACCTGCATAAAACTGCCCAATCTCTCGCCTGGGCTGGGAAAAAAATGTTATGAGTTCTCTAATAAACCGCATCGCATGCTCATAAATTTACTTAAATCTCAAACGTCCCCCTCATTACCGGGTCACCTACTCCAGTCTGATGACAAACCCACATATGCTCCACATGTTATGGGTACAGTATTTGGGGACTACTGTGAGAAGCTTTATAATTGCTTAGCCCCTGATAATCATCCTCCCCTTCAGATGGCTGCTTTTGATGCTTTTTTGGACCATTTACAACTACAAAGTTTGTCACCTTCTGATGTTACAGCCCTAAACGCGGAGATCTCTATTAAATAATTATTGCATGTTGTCAAACATCTCCCTACTCACAAATCTCCAGGGCTGGATGCTTCTTTATTGGCATCTTGGCCCCCCATCTCCTGACCTTCTTTCGGGATAAGGACCGTTCCCTTCCAGATAATTATCATCTTATTAAACTCTGACTACAAGATTTTTATTAAAATACTAGCTGACAGATTGGCCAAATGCATCTCCAAGCTGCTACAGAGACCAGGTGGGCTTTGTCCCAGCTACACGCTGAGATAACACCAGGAGAACCATTGACCTGATTGATCTAGTCAATAAGTCCCGACTCTTACTCTCCTGTTGAGCTTGGATGCCAAAAAAGCATTTGACTGACTAATTGGCCATACAGGTTTCTAGTCCTGGAGAGATTTGGGTTTAGTGGTTCATTTGTAGCTGCTTTAAAAGCCCTTTACTCCACTCCCTCCTCCCAGGTCAAATTTAGCGTAGTTTTTATCACTTTCCTTTCGGATGTCCAATGGTACATGCCAGGGATGCTCTCTTTCTCCCTTGTTTATCCTCTGTTTTTGGATCTAATAGCTATAGCCAGGGGTTCCAATCTGGATATCCATGGGATACGCACCCACAACAGTGACTTTAAACTGTTAGCTAATATCTTGCTTACGGAGCTCCACCTTACTTTTCCGGTCTTATATGGTACTTGACCGCTTTTTGATGCCTTGTCTGATTTATAAGGTTAATGCATCTAAAACTGAAGCATTACCACTTCACATACCATCTACGACTTTATCTTCCCTTCAGTTAAATTATCCCGGTCAGTGGTGCCCCCACTCCTTGAAGTATTTAGGTACCAAACTTACTTCCTTATACCACTCCATTTTTTATAAAGCCAATTTCTCCTCTTTCATGCAATTTCTCAATCCTTAAAATCCTGGGACAGTCTTGCCATCTCCTTCCTTGGACAGATTAATGTGCTAAAAATGACCATACTGCCAAAACTTATGTATCTGTTTGAGATGCTTCCTGTTCCTATCCCCATGTCAAAGTTGCACTACCTTTATAAATCCTTTCTTCACTTTATCTGGCATAATAAATCTCAGTGAATTGCCCTTACTGTACTTCTCTCTCCTCGATCTAGGGGGAGTCTGGGGGGGTCATATTTAGCTACTCTCCTTCGTGCTCTTGTCTCGTGGCCCTCAACGCCCCATAATAAATGGGAAGAGATGGAATGGCTGAAATTTTTAAGTTCAGTGCACCCTTGTTCTATACTTTGGTCTATGACCAACATTGAAACCGCCTCCCAGAAACATCTCCTGCTTGGACCAATGTATTTCACGTTATCTATATGGCAGCAGTGTAGGGGTTAAATTCACTTTCTTCTGTTCCCTTCTGAAATTTAAGACCGTTTTCAGTTAACATTTTTCACATTCACACCAGCCTGATCTGCTGCAGTATTAAATTCAAGCACTTTTTCTTTTTTTTTTTTTTTTCTTTTTTTTTTTTTTTTTCTTCTTTAATGGGCTGCCCAAAGCACTACAAAAATCTTGCATGGAGCAAGAGTGCACTACATTAGTGCACTGCCACATGTTGCACTGTGCTGCTCCTGGGAAGATGCATTGGGGTGTCATTCAGAATGGGTTTTGAAGATCTAAGCTTGCTTTAAAAGAGGATTATCCGCATCCAGTACACTTTTTTGATTCCTACATTCTTTATCACTACATTTATCCCTGCTGTCCTCTACATTACTACTGTGATTAACATGGGGCCCAGCAGAGGAAACCACAGAGCACAGTGGGGTAACACTAGCATCCAACACTCCCAGAAGTCAAATACTGAACATTCTTTTGTCTCAACAATGTAGTGCTAGGTGGCATAGCCAGTTGGACAGGTACTTAAAGTGGTTCTAAATGCTGAAGGTTTTTTACCTTAATGCATTCTATACTTAAAAAAAAAAAAAAAAAAAAAACCTTCAGTGTGTGCAGCTTCCCCCTCAGCCCCCCTTTATACTCGTCTGATCCAGTGATGTGCTCTCCTGGGTCTCTGCTTTCTCATTGACAGACACATTAGCGGGAGCCATTGGCCCCCACTTGATGACAATCACAGCCAGTACAGAGGAAGCAGGTGGCGGGGCCAGGCCATGCTCTGTATGCCTCATAGACAGAAGCAGCTCGAGAATGAGCATGCACAAGTGACCCCAGAGCAAGCAGTTTAATGTGGGAGCACTCAGCAGGGGAGGGGGACCAGGAGTTTTGGTGGGGAACCTGTAAAGAGGACGTTCGGGGCTGCTCTGTGCAAAACCATTGCACAGAGCAGGTAAGTGATGTATTTTGTTGCTTTTGAAGAAAAACTTTAATGTATTCATTGTAAAGATTCCTTTTTTTATTTTTTCAAGACTGCTACAGAGCTGCTTTAAAAGCATGTAGAGACCTAATTGAACATACCGTAATATTCCTGAGGGCTGTTGTATACTAGCCATGTCTTTTTATTAGTAAATTATGCCAGAAACAGTGGTAGACTTCACAAACTATGTAAATATATTGTTTATATACAGGTTAAAACGTGGTTTCAGAACCGGAGGATGAAACTGAAAAGGCAGATGCGAGACCAGCAACATTGTATGACTGCCTCATCTGGCTACTATCCTCACCCTATGCCGTTTTATCATGGACCTCCAGTAAATTTAAGTTTTTACCAAAACCCGGATTACCAAACCCCAGAATCATCATACACCACTGATCCAAGATTTCTACCCACACCAGTGTCTTCTCAAACTGTTATGAACAAAGCCCCATATTATCCATATTACAACAATCTTCATATGTGATATATTGACCAAAAGCCTTATGAATGAAATCATGGAATACATGTAAAGATGTAAAATTGTACAGTCATTTTCTATTTCAATGTGTCAAAAGCTGATTATCTATGTACATATGGTAATATATAATGAGTCTTTTTTTTTTTTTTTGTCTAATTTTAAAAACTGTTCATATTTATAAATTGGAACATATAAATAGATCTATAGATAAACCGCTTTGTAGCATTGTTTCTATACTGAACTGATTAACATTCATGTAGAGTCTTCAATTTGACTATTCATCTCAAATTCAATAAATTTTATTTGTCATCCTAATCCACCTCTCTGAAAAGCTGTGATAAAGTATTTAAAACTGCAGTATTAAAGTGCAACTTTGATCAGGTCTACACTTACCAGGCTATTAAACACTTGCCTACCGGGCACTTTTACACTCTTCCAGGCCAGCTTTCAGCGCTGTCGCACTGACAAATGCGCAGTCATGCAACACTACCCATATCATTTTTATCTTTTTGATGTGGAGTTCCCTTTTATAAAGCCTGTCACTATGTGATAAGATCTTTTGAAAGTGAATGTACTGGCTAATAATGAAACTCACTTTTTTAGGTTACAGAGTTCCCCTTTATAGGGCTTGCTATTATGTGATAAGCCCTTTTTAAGTAAATGTTTTGATTTAAAATGTAGTTCACTCTTTTTAATATATGGCTTGTATGTTAAAATATATGAATTATTTGATATTATTTGCTGCTATAAGATTTGCCTATATGGTTGTATCTTTACCAATTGAGCGCCGCTGCTATTGGTTAAGAAGTACCGCTATGCAGAGTGCGAGCGGTATATATGAGTTGAATTGACGTCTTGCTCCGTGAGGACGTCGGAGTGACGAAACGCGCAGGGCGGAGCCTATTGGATGACGTCAGGACGTTCCCTGTAGCTGTCGGCGAGGTGTCCGCGGTGAACAAAGTTCGTCCATTCCTTGTATCCTGTCGCTTTTTATACCAGTGTCAGGTGGACACTTGATTTGTGAGTAAGATGAGATTTTAATAAATACAAACGGTTTTTACTTACTGCACCATCATGCCTTTCCTTTATTTCTGAGTGGTATTGCCATATATTTGGAGGATGATCGATATATAAAGGGTCCTGGCCATACTTCAGGGTGGCTGCAGAGTATTGCTCCTGGTATCTGGATGATTTCAAACTACAGAGTGTTGCTTCATGATTTGGATTCTCTCATCGCTCCCAGAGCAAATACGCTTGTGCTGATTTATAATTTGATCAGCATTGAGCTCTGGTGAGTTTATTCCATTCATCTGGTGGTGGATTGAGCACGGTGCATTTATACGTTTTAAAAAGAAATTTCTTTGGGGTGTTGGACTTTTTGCACTAATAATAATTTATGGATTGTTTCACTGTGGATTTTTTCATACGTTGAATTTATGGTGTTTGGACTTTTTTGCATGACATATGAATTTTTGATATAATTTAGCGCATTCCGATTTTTTGGATTTTTTTTATCTGAGATTTTAATTGTAGATTCATAAAAAAAGTATGTATGTACCTCCTATGCATGTACAATCTAAATCTCTGTGAGATTGGCAAAATGTTCTTGCCACCTCCTAGTGACATGAGCTTCCCAGTTGTTGTGCGAGGGCACTGACTACATCATCAGTGCCTAAACTAAAAGTAGAACTAAAGGCAAAATTTTTTTTTTTCTCATTTTGGATAGCGTAAGTGGGTTATAATCCCTGTCAGATCTTTGTGTCCCATTGGGGAGATTTCCCTTCACTTACTGTACCATAGCCAGAACAGGAAGTAGAAGGTAATCCCTTCCAGTGAGAGAATGCCTGGTTGTCACTAGGATCACCAGAACTAGTTTCCACATTGAAAGACTACCCTTACTGTTCTAAGGACAACCCAGAATTTGTGATTTTCTTCTATGTTCACTTTGATAATAATGGTAAAAATGTCAAATGGAGAAAGTAAATCTTTCTAATGGGGCATAGACAACAATATTTACATGACGAGTGTTCTAATTCTTCTCCACTCTATCCAATAAAGTTGTGCCTTTTCGTTACACTTGAAGGCCTGGCAGGCAGGAATAGTATGACAGACAAAAAAGATTTATCCAATTGTGGATGAAAAATTATATTTTAAAACTTCGTAACTCTGCTTTTTGCTGAGAAAAAAAAAACATTCTCCTCTGGGTGATCTATGCCCATTACAGGGTTTTTAACAAACTTTGTTACAGATTTCTACCTCTGTTCAGAAGAAATGGCTGTTTGTGTCAATGTGCATCTGGATGGGAGTGGCTGTATAATTATTCAACTGCTGCACCTGCAGGACTCTAATGCGCAAAGTGGCAGGATTTGAATCCTTCTAGTCACGTTTCCCTTTTGGAGTATCACACCAAAAAAACCTAAAATTTTGTTGCAGGGGATGCCCAAACTTTGACTTGAATCTTTGTGCCCTTCTGGAAAATCAGTATGTCATCACACAAGCTGGCAATTACATCTCTGGAGGCATTCTGTACAGAACACCTCTAGGTAGCCAAGTTGCATTTTACAGAAAATTACAGCACTGCACATAGAAAAGGAAAGGCAATTTTTAACATTAAACTGTTGCAATTGTATACACTATAATTTTTTAAATTTGCTATTTTTTCCAGGGAAGAGATGTTACCCTTTAAAGCTTATCTAAAAACAAAAATGCCATATTACAGCTCACCAGTCCATAGATGTGGTGGCTGATGTGGTTTTTCCAGGCCTGTCTCTTCTTTATTTTTCCCTGTTGATCCTACTAATAACACACTGTCTGTCCTAGGGAGAATATGCTTGCTCCTCCATTGTATCTATGACTACATAACCCAGGTTGCATTCCGTACTTGGACACTTGAAAGAATGGCATTCTATAAAACACATTAGTATTTCCGCTTATTCAATATGGAAATACAGCGTCAGGAATCAGGATGTCTCTGGTGGCTTAGCTCTCTCTGGCATGTCATGTCTCAGTTAGGCTGGGAGTCTCATGATCGGCAGAAGCGGTAAGAGCTAGGCACCTACCTGAAATCCTCCATCTCCTGACCACCGCTATTCCCGTGGTGATCCTGCATCCCCAGCTTATCAGCACCTCTACGCCCCCCATGCTCACCCCCCATTACTGGGATTGCAGAAGCCTGAAAACCCGCCCCTTCCTGATGGCCTGATGCTGGAGTGATTCTCCTGTGTCCTGTGATGCTGCCCCCCTCCTGTTCCACTATCCCCTCTTGTAATTCCACACCCCTCCTGTGACCCTGCCCCCTCCCTATCCCACTGAATCCCTCCTGTAACACTGCCCCCTCCTGACCTGCTGCCCCCCTCCTGTGATGCTGCCCTCCTCCTGTAACACTGCCCCCTCCTGTCTCGCTGCCCTGTTCTGTTCCACTGCCCCCCTCCTGTCCCGCTGCCCCCCTCCTGTAACACTGCCCGCTCCTGTCTCATTGCCCCGTTCTGTTCCACTGCCCCTCTTCTGTCCCGCTGCCCCTCTGCATGAGGATTCTGGGAGTCAGATAATGAGTCCGATACCACCATACACTCCGCACTCCTCTCCTGCACATACTACCCATCGCCATACACTGCACTCCTCTCCCGGCACATACTACCTACCGCCATACACTCCGCACTCCTCTCACTGCACATACTACCCATCTCCATACATTCCACTCTCCTCTTCAGCACATACCATTCATCGAAATACATTCTGCACTCCTCTCCTGCACATACTACCCACCGCCATACACTGCACTCCTTACCTGCACATACTACCCACGACCATAGACTACACACTCCTCACCTGCACATACTACCCACCGCCATACACTCCACACTCCTCACCTGCACATACTCCCAACCACCATACACTCCACACTTCACATTCCAAGTTTACTATTACCACATTCTGCACTGTGTAAATCATCTCAGACTCTTTTTAACAATACCCTCTTTCAGCTACGCCCAATATTTAGTGCAATTTATACCACATAAACCTTTCGCCGTGGCGCGCTTCGCGCACAGCATTTTGATTTTTCTTGCTGTTTGGGGCCCACTTTTGATCTTGTACACGAACCTACTTATTTCATGATACACCTCTGCCACCACCACTCTCCAACTTCCCTACTGAGCAGACTCTAACACCTTTTAAGGGAGTCCAGCCCATTTGCCAAGCCTCCTGTTGGGGATTGGCTGAGATCCCCCAAAGGTGCAGCCAACCACTTTTCAGATCAACACACTGCCTCTAAAGCCCTCCTCCAAAAGTGTCAGAGTAGGGGGAAATTCCAGAGGGGCTGGCCTGCAGAGATTCTCAGCCCTGACACGAATCTGCCCCCTCTGGCTTAAGTCAAGTTCCTCCACCCCAAACTCATCCATGTCTTTATGGACCTTACTTTGTGCACTGGTGTGCAGTGATGTTTCAACAGGAAGGGGCCCACCCCAAACTGTTTCCACAAAGTTGGGTGCATGAAATAGTCCAAAATGGCTTGGTTGTGCTGGATGCCTTAAGAGTTCCCTTCACTGGAACTAGGGGGCCATGCCCAACCCCTGAAAAACATCCCCACACCATAATCCCCCTTCCACCAAACTTTACACTTGGCACAATGCAGTCAGGCAAGTGCTGTTCTCCTGGCAACCCCCAAACCCAGACATGTCCATCGGATTGCCAGACAGAGAAGTGTGATTCATCACTCCCGAGAACACATTTCCACTGCTGTAGAATCCAGTGGTGGTGTGCTTTACCCCACTGCATCCAACGCTTTGCATTGCACTTGATGATGTAAGGTTTGGATGCAGCTGCTCAGCCATGGAAACCCATTCCATGAAGCTCTCTACACACTGTTGTGCTAATCTGAAAACCACAAGAAGTTTGGAGGTCTTTAGCTATTAAATCAGCAGTTGGCCTTATGTGGCCTACCAATTCGTGGTTGAGTTGCTGTTGTTCCCAGTTGCTTCCATTTGGTTATAATACCACTAACAGTT